TGACTTACAAAAGACCTGACACAGGAGTGTCAGGGTAGAAATTCAGATGTCTATTTTGGGAGAGGCAAGCAAGGCAAGGGAGTTAGGCCAGACCTCAGAAACACCACCGCCTACAAAACATTCACTCTAAGCCAGGCACATGCTCAATGCTATTAACGCTTTGCATCACTTAACCCTCACAATTCTTCACGATGAGAGTTATCTCCAGGGCCAGATTCCTGGGCATGAGACCCACGCAGACCCACTCTGAGGGCGCTGTTCTTGATTTAAAGCTCTGCAGCCACCATCTTGAAACCCTTAATAATTTTTAAACAAAGATTCCCACATTTTTATTTTGAACTGAGGTCCACAAATTACATAGCTGATCCTCATTATCTGCACTTTATGGATGTGTGAACGGGGATTGCAGGAAAACTCCAAAGAGCTTACCAGCTCTAAATCTGTTCCTTGGTTTAATGCTCTGCAGCCACCATCTTGAAATCCTTTATAATTCGTAAACAGGGATCCCTACATTTTTACTTTGAACGGAGCCCACAAATGATGTAGCTGGTCCTCGTTATCTCCACCTTATAGATGTGTGAACAGAGGCTTAGAGAAATGGAGTTGCTTGCTCCTAGCCCTGAGCACACACCAAAGTAGAGTTGTGGAGTCAGCAGGCAGGGAGAAGATGGGGAAAACAAACTGCTGACCTAAGGGAGCTGACACCGCCGTGGTCTCAGAACCCTTTGAAATGTCCTTTCTTCTTATGGCCTCGGGCTTGGTGCTGTGTCAGGTCATACAGCCAACCAGGTGAACAATCATCCCGGTTTGCCCTGGACTGCAGGGGATCCTAAGACTTCCCTTTCAGGAGTAAAAGAGAGAAATCCCTGAAAACATGGGAAGTATTGGTCATCCTACTACTGAGTCACAGGTATAGGGTACCAGAAGCTCCACAGCTCTGATGTGTCGTGTTATGAGGTAGGTTCCCCAATGTCAGGGTTCACCCAGAGGGCAAGATGGAGACCTGGATCCAGGTACAAGTGAGCAGGGAGCCACCTGACTCATCGCAAGACAAGCAACAAAGCAAATGATGCCAGAAGGATCAGTTAGCTTGAGAACAGATAGGATGTAGGTCCTATTCCAAGACCCATGCCAGGTTGGAGACAGTGTGAGTACAGACAGCCAGGAGCAGAAGGCAACAGGCTGGGGCCGAATCCATGTGTAGGTTCACGGGATCTCCGACCTACTCACCCTATGACCTGCACAAACCATTTGGCTGAGACTAAGCTAAAAAAAATTGGAAGAAACAAATGGAAACTAAGCTTTTACAAATGGGCAGGGGACCAAGAGTTGGAAGGAGCAGGGAAGGATGGTAGGGTAGGGGACAAAAATAAGAATTAGGGTGTATTAGGTACATGTACCAACTCCCCACAATAGATAGAATCATTATGTACTGCAAACATGTGCTAATGAATTTTTTTGATTTCCTCATCTGAAAAATAAAGGGAGCAATCCTGATGTCATGAGGCGAATATCAGAAAGATCACATATGCATAAGGCATACCGTTCAGTATGGGCACACTGAACATTTCAATGTATGTTCTTTTAATTCTGTAACTATTTATAGAGCCCTATTTTGAGCCAGGCTCTGTGACAGACTGGGACACCCCTTACTCTTGTGGGACCAACTAATGGTATGCGCATAAACGTTTAACAACCAGCTGTCTACAGAAAAAGTAAAAATTGCTTTGAAGCATATGCCAGTTCCCATGATGTAAATACTCCCTCATGGCTGATGTCAATCCACCAGTGTGAAGTCCCTGAATACAGAGTTGGGAAAAATTGTCCATATCTGCTCAAGGGAGCCTAGGCCAACAGAATGCTAACCCTCTATTGGAAAGAACAGAGGGTGACACCATAGAAGAGAACACAGTGGGAGAGGCAGCCAATACAACTTAGAAGAGGGAGTGTGGAGGACCTCCCTGAGGAAGTGAGATTTCCACTGAGGCTTGAACAATCCACAGATACAAATGGAATAATACACTAGCAAACATGCAGGCCAGCAGAGCAGAAAGGAGAACACAAAAGGAAAGCATGTTGGGGAAAGGCCAGCAGCACAGAAAGACAAGGCTGGGGCAGAAGAGAGATCAGAGAGTGCAGGGGCCAGGTTCTTCATGTTCCAGAATTAGGTTTTATGCTAAGAAAGTCACGAGCATAATACTTATATTTTAGAACCATCACTTTGGAAGTATGTGGAAAATGTTTTCAGTTATAAGAAGGCAAGCAGAGAGATCAGACTATGGCAGAATCCCAGACAGAAGATGTGGTTAACCTGGGTCAGGTTTAATACTCAGTTACCCTTCAGTATAGGATATTAGTTTTAGAATAGCTCCTATGGATAAAAAAATGCAGATGTTAAAGTACCTTATATAAAATTACACAGTATTTACATATAACCTACGCACATCCTTCTGAATATTTACTTGTTTTTGAAGTGCTAGGGATTGAAGCAAGGCCTTGCACATATTAGGCAAGTTACCCTACCAGTGAGCTATATTCCCAGCTCCACTCCTATATACTTTAAACCATCTCTAGATTACCTATAATACCTAATATAAGTGCTACATAAATAGTTGTGATATCGTATTGTTTAAAAAATAAAAATTCTGTACTTGTACACAACAGACACAATTTTTTTTCAAATATTTTCACCCCATGGTTCATTGAATTCATGGGTGCGTAACTCATGCACATGTAAGACTGACCATATTTGTTTAACAGATATTTATTGAGCTTCTGCCATGTACTTATCACTGCACTAGGCCCTGGTGATTTATCAAAAGGAACACTGTCCTAGCCTTCACGAAGCTGATAGGCAAGAAGAAATCATTTTCAAAGATATAATAATAGTCAACTCTTGGACGTTTGCTGCAAACCACATACAATATTTAACACTTGACGTGCACTGTCTCATTTAACTCACATACAGCTGTAAGGTATAGATCCAAATGTTACACTTGTTTGAGATACTAGACAGAAAATCAGAAGCGGTGGAATCATAGTTCAGGCATGTGGAGTTTGGCCTGGATTTTAGCTGCTTTCTGAAAGGCCAGAGTCTAGGGGCTGGAAGGTGTATGGATGCTGGAGTGAGACAGAGGGTGCCAGGTCTTCTAGGGACCCCCAAAGCCTTCCCACAAACACCTCTTCCTATGTAGTGGACCTGCTACAGCTTCCACAACCTCTCTGATAGCGCTTTGAGGGCAGGTTAAAGTCGTCTTTCAGGAGGAACTTAGTCTAGATCGGGACAACAGGGAGCATGATGTCCATACTTGTCGGTCTCACATTTATAATGTTTTTAATGAATTCCATTTGTATGAATTTTTAGATGCTATACACACAGAGAGAAAAAACAAATGTTTCTAATCTGATCAAATTGCCAATTAGAATATACCACAAAGGGAAGCTTGACGAGACTGTTTTGTCCATGCTGAAATAAGGATAAATCTGACAAATAGCAAGCATTCTTCTCCACAGCTTGACAGCTGAGAAATGGAGACCAGCCAGGAAAGAAGCAGCAGACACAGTTCTGTGGCTCAAGCCATCTTCTCAGCCAGAATCTCTGGCCTATGCCACAGTGCTTGTTATTGTCAGTCATTTCTTGCTTTATGAGGTGACGGGCAATTAGTTTTGATCATGCACTTTAAATAGAATTGACCTCCACTAACTAGATCCATCCAATTTGCCAAAAGATTTCCTTGAGACCATTGCACTCCATATAGTATTTACATTTTTTAGGCAGCCTTCCCCGCTTGCCTTCCCTCAACATCTCCATCATAAAGACAATGAAAGCCAAGGGGCTGTAAAGTTTTATAAGGACAGCTATTGCCTTCAGGACTTGAAGGTCAGACAAACACCAGTTCAAGTCCTGGTTTCTGCCACTTATGAGCTGAGTGACACAGAAATTTACCTAACCTCTCTGAGCCTATTTGTAGCTGTAAAATTATAATGTCTACCTTACGTGGTTGTCAAGAAGAAACCAAATAAGGTGCCTAAAGTGCTTAGCGCTCAGTACGTTTGTTGCCACCATGATCAAACAGTACAGCGGAAGCCTGACAAAATGATTATGACTCAGCCAGGGGGATAAGAAGAGGGACTGGTGTCACCTGCTAGAATACAGTGAGAGGAAGCAGAGGAAAAAACCTTACTGGGCTTTCAAAACATTTTTTCCCAAACGTCCCTTTCTCAACCTACCCAAATGGCCTACATCAGTCGGCATCAGTTAGGATTTTGCACACACAGATATTCACATCAAAGCTGGTGTGTTTGCCTTTTAACCTGAGTAAATTAAAACGGAATAGTTTTCTTAATCCAAGAAATTAATAGTAATTTTTATGGCAGGTCCAGGATCAGATGTAAAAATGTAAAAGTGTTCTTCAAAATAATTATCCATAGACTACAATCAGCTGGTTGACTGACTTATGAAGTTATATACAGGGCAGGTTGTCGCCAGCAGGAGGCCCTGGACCCGCAGTGAGGGTTGGGGCTAGGGTAGGGATGGGAGTGCTCCTCACCTGGCCTGGCAAGTGAATAGTCACTTAGAAAGACCCGTATGTTTAAACTAAGTCCTAAAACCAGGGAATTAGATTTTAATAAGAGTATTCTAGAAGGAAAAGGGGATGTGAAACCAACCCTTAAAAAATATTAACAAGAGACAGATTTTGAATGTGTGAGGGGACATTTTGGAATTGTTATTTAATAAGAGTTGTTATTTATTCAATAGGAATTGTTATTATTTACATTGTCTTTACTGAGAGAAGCTTCTAAGAGACTCACCTTTATCAGCAGTGACAATAATTTGTTGGCTTCTCAGATGGTAGACTTTGGGTGTCTCATAAATGACACAACTTTGACCAGACTTTTATCAGGTCTGTCAATTTGAAACCGTTCTCCACCCAAGGCTTGAATGCCTACAAGATTAAACTAGTCTAAGAAAGGCGTAAAAATCTCTTCTTATCCTACAGTGTCGCTCTCGTAAAACCCCAGAGGACTGAGAAGGCTCGGCTCCTCCTCAGGTTTTTGTCTTAGACTTGGGATGCCTTTCCCTGTGGACTGTTGCTGGCCCCAAACAAAGGCGTCTCCCAGGCTCAGGCATCAAGGTGAATATTTGCGGATGTCTCAGCCAACCCGTGATACAGAAGATAATCTCCACAGTCTGGATTTGCAAGGCTCTTTTCCATCTCTCTTCTCCCAGCGGCCATTTCTCTAGTAGAAGCCTCACCTATGTACATGAGACAGGAAAAGGAAAAGAAAAAAAAAAAAAACACTGATGAAATTTCATTTTGTTACCATAAGCAGACCTCGTATAAACTTAGGTGGAAGGAAGAGACCAAACCCAGGGCCCATGGCTGAGCTTACTCATCAACCATTCCAGTGGGTGACTAAGAACTGACTGGAACTGCTGTTTCCCACCAAAGCCTGGGAGATCTTTTATATCTTCTTCCCCCAACTGAGCTGACATCCAGTATAAGTGTTTTCTGGAAACTGATGCCGGCAAATGCCCAGTGGGATATTTTGGTTTAGTTTTCTAAAGATCAACCTGGAATGAATAAAACCTGTCTGTTAAAAAGTAGGAGAAACAGATGTTTAAACCACCTGTATAGGGAACGAAGGGCAGTATCAGTGCTGACCCGATGCTGAGTCCTCTGAGTGTTCAGATGGTGATGCGAGGGTCTAGAAAGTTCTGAAAGGAAAATCTCACGAAGAGGTCATCCAGACCTGGGGTGAGGTGAAGAGGCCCCGGTTTCGTCCCAGTTAGAGCATTAACTCTGAGAGACCTAGTTAACTGTCTTTAAGACCCAGTTCGTTCATATGTAAGAAACAAATAATAATACACGTCCAAAGTAATCACCACATGCAAAGCTCGCTGTGTCTTGCCTTTGCTTTAAAACCAGACCCCTGGCCCTTCCTACGTGTTCCAACCTCAGACCACCACCACTCGCGCCCTCCGCGATCCTGAGACTCACACTCTGGACCCTTCTGCCACTTTGCATGTGCTCTCAAACCCGTCAAAGACCTCTCCGGAACTAGGGACATTTGTTCATCTTTAAAATCTAGTTCAGATATCACTTTCTGTGAGAAACTTCCCCCGGAGAGCTTCCCTGCACCCCCACCCCCCATTCTCCACCCCCCATAGCCTACAGCCTCTCAGCGCCCACTCCCCACAGCTTCCCCACCCCAACACCACCGCCTCCCTGCACAAAGGCTGTGAATAGGCTGTCGGTGGCCCTACATGAGTGAGGGTCTGTGGGGACAGGAAGGCAGCAAGGAGCCTGTGTGTCACGCTGGAAGTCAGGAAAGGAAATGCCTGGGAAACCATGTGTGCCTTTGCGAGGGAAGGGCAGGATGTGGCAGGCGGGAAAGGGAGGGCAGGGAAGGCTGCCAAGGAGGTGTTTGTGGTATTAGTAGAGGATGTCTGGGGCTTAGCTGAGGTGGATTTGCGATGTAGGAGGGACTCGCTTGTCTTGTAGAGGATAACTGAGAATAAGGAGGCTTATGCAATTTGAAAACATCCAATTCCACAGAACGTGATGATTCCTGACAGTGATCCACTTCACTTGTACAAGTCTTGCTCTTCCCTCACGTTCTGCCTTCCTCGGGTCTAAGCCACTCTTATGGTTTGGATCTTAAATGTGCCCCGAGGGCCATGTGCTAAAGGCTTAGTTGCCAGCAGTGGCAGGAGCGGGAACTGATAGAAACTTTAGGAGGACAGATCTAGTGGAAGGACGTGAAATCACTGGAGATGTGACTTTCAAGGGGATATAGGAACTCTGTCCCCTTCTGCTCCCTTTCTGTTTGTTTTTTTTGTTTGTTGGTTTGTTTGTTTGTTTTTCTCCGGTACCAGGAACCGAACTCACGACCTTGCGCTTGCCAGGCAGGCGCTTTTGCCGCTGAGCTAAATCCCCAGCCCCACGCTCCCTTTCTTTCTTTGCTTCGTGGTCACCATGAAGTGAACAGTTTCCTCTGCGACACACTTCCCTCCATGATGTTCTACCTCACCACAGGGCCGAGGACAATAGGACCAAGCCACCATGAACTGAAATCTCTGAAGTCATGAGCCAAAATAAATCCTTCCTCCTTTTAACCTTATTTTCTCGGATACGTTGCCAGTGACAGAATGCTAACACAGTCACTCTTCAAGAAACACGCCCCGGTACCGGAGAAAAACCAAACCCGGTACCGGAGAAAAACCAAAAAAAAAAAAAAAAGAAACACGCAGCTACTTAAGAGTAAGACCAACCCTACTGGCCCATGGGAGGCCTGTCCTCCATGACAGTTCTCCCCCTGTCCCCCATCCTGTTCTTCCTGGCTCTTTATTCCTTCCCCCTGTCTCTACCCTCCCTCTGCCCCTGTTTCTTTTATGTCATTTTCTGCTTTTTCTCTGGCTGTTCCAAGGCCCTCTCACCTTCCGCACTCCACACAAACCTCACTCAGGAGTCCCAGCTTCTCTTGCGCCTCCCTCAGGGGCCTTTTCAGCCTTTTACTTCATCCTCCTCAATATTTATTAATGTCAACACCTTGCTTTCATCCACTTTTCTCCTTCAATATCACTTCCTTTCAGTTTTCTTGTATCCTTTGGCGCTTCTGTGCTACTTGATCTTACATATTTCTGCCACTCCATCCACTCATTCCCTTGACAAGCATTTCTTACACATCTACGTAGTGTATTCTGAAGCACAGGCGAAGTGCTAGTGAAACGAAGATGTATGAGCCTCTTTCAGAAAGCTAAGGTATAACAATCCCTTAAGTGTGTGCTGACAGCCTGCAGCACCTCCCATCAGCCCCTACCCCCACCCTAATGTCTCCAAAGCTCCTTAGCTCCGCCCATCACCATCCAAGTTTCAAGAGGCTCCTGGAATCTGTGCCAAAGGTGAGAGGGTCACAATGCTGTTCTGGCAGGGGACCCAGGTGGGGACCTGACAGTATTTCCATCCTCTTGAGGATCAGAAGGACAAGGGCTCAGCCCTGCCCTGTGTCTGTCCCCTGTCCTGACTTGCAGTGTAAGCCAGGTCTATGGCCGCAACGGCCTCCTCCCGTCCTCTCACTCTTCCTAGGGAGAGTGTGGACCGGGTGAAACAGTGAGGTCTCAGAGCCTCTTTTACGCTCATTCTGCAATGCCTTGTGAGGACTGGCCTCTGATTTCACAAGAACACCTCCAATGATCCTATGAATCCACAGTGATTACAAGGGGTTTCCACACCCAAAAGAAGAGCAGCTTTGGGTACTTCAGGAATGTTCTTGGGATAACATTAACAGAAAACATCAAGAGAAGGCTGTTACTTAAGTGTGGTTCTCAGCTTTTAGTCAGAATCAGACTTACGGGGGAATTTGGCAAAAACACCACAGCCAGACCCTACCTTGTGTCAACCGCCTCAGCCTCCATGGGCTGTACCAGCTGCCCAGCTGAACCTGGCACACAGGCGTAGAAACAACTGCTCCGGGATGCTTCTAACTCCTCCTCCTGAGGCAGGATGGCCCTGATGGTACCCAACTGCCATCCGAACCCTCTTACCAAACCTTCTTCATCCGGTGGCTCCCCCAGCCTCAGGTGTAGACAGACTTCTCCCCTGGAGAGCCACGAAGCAAAACGATCCTACTAGGCTTCTTGCTATGACTTTTACAAAATCATTTCCTTCCTCTTACTGATTTCTCTCCTCTCTGGGATACACTAAGTCTAAACTTTGTGCGAACAGAACAGGAAGCAGTTGGTTCCACTAAAAGAAGGAGAGAGAGATAGAAGACTAAGGTTTAACATGTGACCAATTTTTAAGGCTCCCAAAGTCTGCACCTTGCATAACTGTCAGGATTCGGTCAGCAAAGCGGAAGTGCTCGGGAGATCCGCAGCAGGGGTGTTTTTGAAGCTGCAGCTGACCACGCACCAGTCCTGTGGTCACTTTGTAGGATCAGCCAAGTTTTGCAAAGGAGAAAATATGAAAATATAAACATGAAAAGATTCTCCAAGGTCATGCTGAGGCAGTGGTAGAGAGGATTAGGAGCTCAATGCTCTTCCTCTTGGGCCTATTTCTGAGCTACCGGATAACACAGCTTCCCCTATACAGATGTTAAATAGGCTTTTGCTTTAAAATAAGGATTTTTTTTTAAAGTTCTTAGTTCGGCCATATTTCAGTGCAAATCTTCTAGGTAAAAGGGAGCCAACTGAAGGGAAATTAATTACCTCAACCTCCTGGAACATGAGTCAGTTTTATTTTTCCCTGTGCTTTACTGAGCAGTGCTTTAGACATTAGAGAGTGGTTCCCAAACTGCTGCTGGGGAGCTTTTAAAAATATCCACGCTCAGGCCTTACCCTGAACCAAATTGGAGCTTTTCAAGCTGAGATGCAGGCATCATTATTTTTTAAACTCCTCTATAGCAGTGGTACCCGAACGTGTATGTGTATTGGAATCACCAGGGACCTTCAGTGGTGAGACCAGCCTCCCACCCCTGGGACTGGGAATTATTTATTTAAGACATGGCCGGTCCATTTTAAAAGATCCCCTAAGAGATTTCCATGTGCAACCTAGTTCAAGAGCCACTGCTCCAAAGCCTCGTACCTCAAAGCCTAGCTCCCCCCGCAGGTTAGCACCACCTGACAGCTGCTTTGAAATGCAAGAGCCTTGAGCCCCACTCCAGACCTCCTAAATCAAAATCTGCAGTTTAACGAGATCCTCAGGTGATTTTGATGTACATTAAAGCTTGAAAAGCATTTTTTTTAGAGCATTTCCCCACTGCCAGAGGAAAAAAATATTTTCACATTTCCAAACACAAAAGAGATCTGTCTCTTTATTTCAATTAGATAGAGAATGGGCACAAAAGCAAACCACAGAATGTTAGAAATGGGAATTTAAAACAGCTAATAAGAAATAGTAAGCATGCCAAGGACAGCACATGAATCACCTCGTTTGTTTTTTATCACAATCCTATGATATAGGTATAAGTACTATACCCATTTCACAGATGACCAAACTGAGGCTCAGACCTGGATGAACAGCTAAAAGACCACCTAGATGGGCAGAATGAGGACTTACCATAGGTTGCTGAACTAAAACACATGCTTTGAACTACTCAGTCAGACTTGCCCAATCTGTATGCCAAACATTCT